TTTCCAAACCGTTGGTCGAAGCAATTTTTGTCGTTTCAAATTACAATTTAACAGCTAGCATCGCGCTGGTATCCTTTAAAAGTGCCGCCGGGGAGTGACTGACTGCTTAGCGCTTTTAAAAACATTTCGTGACTATATATTTATTGCCACAGCTGTTAAGTTGCCTCCTATTATCAATGCTAAAAAATTCGAATGCTACATGATACTGCAGCGCTAGGTTGCGTTGAAGCGCCAGCGAAGCTGCACCGATATACACAGCTGTTATACAGACAACAGTCAGAGAGGCGTCTCGGAGAACGTTAAGAAGTCTTAAAGATCTGTTTGAAATAATAAGACGTCTAAAAGATGTCTTTAAAAGTCATTAATCATAATTACTAAACTTTATAATGAAAAATATATAAATCACGTTTCAATTATCATCTTTGTGTGTTAAATTTATATATGCTATATAATAATATAAATTGAGTCCTATTTTGCAGAAATTGTAAGTTTTATATATCTGGGTTTTATATATCTGGGTCAATCATCAAAGTTTGTTAATTTTTTCACTTATTACATTAAATTTAATTAAAGAAAATATAAAATATTCAAATATGTGTTACTTTTAGATTGTGAGCAAGATACTATTGTGAATAAAAAAAAATTCTTTGGCAAATTAATACTATTTAAAGAACAATAAATTACGCGTATTATTTTTTGCATATTTTTATAAATGCATATCATCGAGCAATATAAGCAGGTAATACAGTTAAGTACTAATGGATAGTATCAACACGAGGTAAGACTTACACAATACGCTTGAATCGTTTTAGACTTTTTATTGTCAAAGATATCTTTAACATATCTTAAGATATTTTAATGTTCTTCGAAGACACAAAGAATATTAGCTTCATTGGATTTAGCACATACGAAATATGTTGCAATTATATAACCTTCTGTCGATAAATTTGCTATCAAATTAAATGAAAGTCATAGAAATGCAGTTCAACAAAAATATATAATATACTTTATTGTAGATTTGTATATGAAGAATCAGGATAAATGCAAATTGTAAAATTAATTACGTTATTATATATTAAATATCCAGATCTGATGACTAAGATGGTCGATAATATCATCGTTCTTCAATTACCCCTCAAGTCAATCAATTCAAATTTCCGTATACGAACATTTGCTTAGAACCAGCAATTTTTACTCTTATTTTATCGATATTGTTAAAGACTGTCAACTCTGGGTAAATTGTAACAATCAAAAAAGATCCGAAGATAATCGAAGAGCGCTGTTGTCAACTGTTTGGTGCACTGAAGATAACCCTACTTATATGAGCGCTTTTACCATAGTTTTAGTAGCGACGATATTGTGTTTAATCTGAGTTCAAGAAACGTCCATAATTATATCGTCCAACCGATATAATTTATGCGATTTAGTTTCGTTCCGGAAGATGCGTTTGCAGCGCTCACGGACGCGTAAAAATATGTTTAAATACGTACGATGTAAATGAACGTAAGCACGTGCATATCGTCCTGCGGTTGATAACGGTTGCCGCAGCGTTTGGAAATTGACCGACCGACGATAATAACTTTGATACTAATCAAAAGTATTTATATACATACGCGTATAAAAAAAAAATATATATATATATATGTCGGCACAATTTTCAATTCCGACATTTCCCTCGTCATGCTAGGAATATCAACACATTTATCGGCTCATTCATCGGCTCTGAGTCGTTCCCATCGAGCAGCAGCATAAATTCCTACCCGCTCTCTTAAATCGCAGGAAATTGGATCAGTGGACGACGAAATCGGCGTAAGTATCACTCACGAATTCAACTTCCTGGTGAGAAAAAGGATAACACGCACCGAGCGAACATTTATAGACCGATATCAATTAACCGCCGTCTGGTTTAACGGTACATCGTATTCTGAACCAGGATAATGCGACAATATTTTACGGTATCAACCTCCTGTTAGGAGGTAAACTTGAACTCGCCCATAGAATGACTTTCGGTCGGTCCAAAGCGTCGTTTTATCCCAGCGTACGCTTATAATTAGATTGGTTAATAGTCCGTCGAGGGACCGTAAACGCGCGATTAGAGAAGAGAGAAAGAGAGAGATAGAGAGAAAAGCACAGCCGTATTAAACACGAGTCCGTAAAGATGAATCATATTTTACGATTAGAAAATTGCAACACGAACGTAATCACGATTCCGGTTTTTGCGGGACACGCCGCGTCAACTTCAACAGGACGGACAATGTAAAACGATAATTTCGCCGCGTCGATTATCTGGAATCCATAAAGACGACGTTTATTGGAGCATAATACGGTCACGGGAGAGAATCTTGCGAAAGAAACGTTTTTATCTCTGGTTACGCCTTGGAAGGCTTAATTGAGATTTTCCCGAGCAACAACTGTGTCGTATATATAATCTCGTGGCGCGCCTAAGCGATTAGATACTCCTTTTCGACCTGTCTATCAGATCGTTCTTCCAACGATCTTCGTCCATGTACCTCTCACGGAAGATAATCTCGCGAAAAATTTAGGACGCTTCGTATGCACGTGCACGTACATGCCGACGAAGTGGATCATCTTCGTCTCGCAGGGGCCCGCAATCGTGCGGTTTGCGCCGTTAAATTGTCTTCCTGGTGAGCGTACATTGGGAGCGCTGCAGAAGCGAGCGCCTTTCGGCGGAGCGTACGCTTCGCACGAGAAACTTACGCGATGTTCGTGTCATTCGCACGAACCTGTCAAATTTGTCGGCTTTTCTGCTAACTTATGAATGTGTATTTATAATTCACTCGGAGTCCCTTGTATCACGTTTCTACGTGAATAATCCATCGATTCTGTTATTTCGAGTAAATCTTTCTCTAATTTTCGTCGCGACCTATGCGTGAGACTAATTCGCTTATAATTGAGGGTAGTATTAAGTAGTATAAAAAAAAAGATTCGTTACTTGGTAATAATGTTACGACACCGCCAGCCGCGCGAGGATCTCTTCTCGCGACGCAGATGAGAACCACGGCGGAAGAGGGTCGATCGCAATTGATCGCAAAATTGGGTTGTGAACAAAAGCAACGGATAAAGCGACGAGGAGACGTATGCTATGTAAGGCGGCTCCTCGACATAAGAAAGGCAACCGACTAGCTAGATAGCGGCATGTACAGAGTGTCGCTTACTAAAAAAGATAATGAGTCCATTCAAATTCAATCCAGCCAAAGGGTATCGCCAGTTCGTGTCCGTTCGCATGCGTCGGTGCTTAGTCAACTTTCCCCGGCTCGCCCTAATTCGTGGCAAATGCAATTACGTGGGTTAATTAACATGTTTTGCGTCGTCTGATTCACCTGTGGCTCACGCTGAACCCTCCGTTCGGGCTGCTCGAAATTTCAGCTGCCAAACGATGATACATAATGATGACTTTTGCAATTGTTGCGTGTTTTTTGACAAATAAAGCGTGGCTTATAGCACAACAACGTGGATCACCTACCCGGCGATGAGTCACATAAAATTGCTCTGGCATGGAAAAAAGGAATTAGCTCTCACGGTTAAAAACTAACGAAAGTGGAAGTCGAGATTTGTCCGCGCTGTTTTCGCGTCCTCAATTTTGCGAATGCAGGCGCAGACAAAGCGGTCGTACAGCTGCCGCTTATCTTAGAACAGACGTTAAAGGCGCAAGTGGGTTAATAGTAAGGACTGGACGCGCGAGCATTTTGCGGTCCGCGAGCAATCGCTGACAGCTGATGTTGATAAACGATCGCCCGCGGGCCTCGCATCGCCGGGACGATTCAGTTGTAGTTGCACCTGCACCTGCGAAACCTCCTCCTGCGGGCCACTGCCACACTTTCGTGCGTAACGATTGGTACGAACGCGCGTTTTTAGCCCTCCTTCAGCCGCCTTAACGGGAGCGATTTCGTCGAATCTAGGAAAGTTCTCGGCGTCGGTTGCGAATTGGTCCTTCCGAATGGCGCGAGAACATCTCGGAACATCTTGGACAATGTTACTTATTCATTCATCTATATTAAATTAAAAGTTAAGTTGCTTAAATTAGATTGAACGCAACCTACTTTATAAGGGAAGAGGGGTTTTTCCCCCGATGTTATTTTCCAAAATCTGAGCTAACGATTGTCAGTTACAATTTCTGATCGGGCGTGCACGAAAACGGCTGAAAAGCAGCTACTTGATTCGTTTCTCCCGGTAGAGAGGCCGCAAAAAGACGGGAATACGTGTCAATCGCGCAGATGTATCCGCGGTGGATTCGTCACGCGCGTGAAACTGCCGCTCGGAATGTAAGTAGGAAACGAGACTAATGTCGCTATCGTTAGCAAGAACATCCCCCGATTTCTTGCGACAGTTCTATTAGAAAGTGTCGGCATCGCGGACGGACACAAAAAACTGCCGTACTTTCAATTAATCCGACCCTACGTGTCTCGACCTACTAGTGTTATCGATGGCTTTCTCGACGAACAGTCTCTTATCAGTCCTGATGTCAGCCGCGTCAATCCCGGACGTGACGTGTGTGCACATTGTGCGCGATCAACAGTGCAAATCTCCGCGGGCTCATTTTCTTCGTCGTCGTCGTGTTCTCGGTCACAAAACCGGACGCGCGTAGGAAACTTCTCCGTTCGTTCCGGCGCGAGTCCTTCGATCTCGTTCTTCGCTCCCGAGTCCTCGTTACCACCCGCGATCCGTGTCAGGACGCGCGGTATCCTTGGCCTCCAAGATGCCGCGCGCACGGCCAGTGGGACGAGATCCTCCCGTCGACGATCTCGCGGAAAAGGGAAGAAGGACGTAACACGAAGAGAGCTGGCCTAGAAACGGACGTGGAGCAGCCGGTGTTCCCCGTGGTATCACCAGGCGGAGGTGAGCGGTGGGATACGTTTCTTCCCCACTTCTCTCGCGCAGACCTCCTCCTTTTGACGGTCGCCGTCGACGATGATGGTAATGGTAAATGGCCCATGGAGAGGCTCTCCAGTCCGCGCCTCCACTGGAAACGGGAGCACGCCACGTGAAAGTAGGAAGGGGAGGCTATAGCCGGACCGACGTCGCTTCGTGCGCCTCAGTCGTTCGTGGACCTCGAAGGACGATAGAGGTCGAAGAGGGCACTTCCTCCTCTCCTGCCTCGCGGATTCTTTCGGCACGCTCTTCCTCTCTTCTTCTTCTTCTTTCTCCTCCTCCTCTTCCTCCTCTTTTCTCGCACGACTTCGGTGACGAGGGCATCGCAACAGGATAATCGTCCACAAGGATTTCGGCGCGGGGATATCGTTTCGTAAAGTCAATCGGGAGATAACCGGAAGAATGCGCCGTCAAGTCTCGATCGTCCTCGGGATCGTCCTGCTGGGCTGCTTTCAAGGTCGGTATCACTTTCGAAGATGTGCCGCGCGAGAAAAATCTAAAACTATGTTCTCGGGAGGAGACGCTGAGAATTCAGTGTGTCATCGGAGAAATGCGCGCTTATTTAGGGTTGAAGGGAGCGTAAGTTGAATCGAATAATCATGACGATTCCGACAGTAAATCAAATGTCTATTCGTTCCGTCTCGTGCGATATTTTCAACGATTTATAAATAGTTTCGCGCCACTGAGACGCGCGTCAAATACGCTCGATACGATGCAAAATTGCGAATTTTACACATCGGTGCGATTCTGCCTGTCATTTCGCTTCATCATCGGCCACTTTTTGCGATCGAATGTACCTAAATGGTTTTACTTAGATATCTCCCCTAAATTACGGCATGCCACATCATTCTCTTTATGTTCCCGAAGTAATGAGATGGCCGTTCGTGTAATTTATTTGTAACGCTTTTGAATTACGATCCCCACAAAAAGGGGCAGCCATGTCTACGTTGCGATCATTTTTTCCACTCGTTATGATAATTTGATATCCACTCGCTTCACGCATAGATACTTAAGAAGCAAACGAAAGCAGCACGACATTCACAACCAGATGAATCCATTCGTTATCCGGTGAAGAGCGGTCGATCGAGAGTAAAATCCTCGTTAATGACCTGCCGCCAGTATTTGACCGATGGATATAACGTTAGAATTCATGCAGAATATCAGGATCGATATTGGAAGCAGCTCAAACGATGAAAGCCGCGAATTTCGCAACAAGACCGACATGCTCTCGCTAATTAAATTTACGTTGATCGAGTCGCTGGAAGTTACCTCTAACGCGACATTGTTAATCATGTATTGTCAAAGTTGGAGATACACACATTGAAATAAAACGTAAATATCCTCAGTACTATTGCGTACACTGAGAAAAAAATATAGTTATTTTCGGAGACAACAATATCCTTTTCTCATTTTAACCACAAAAATAGTCGAGAAAATTACTAGAACTATTTTTTCAGTAAATGTTACTATAGTGTCAGTTATAATAACTTTACGTGCTTTTTACTAAATAATTTTACTTTAGAACAACAATCATGAAGTCAAGTAGTATTCGTACGCGATATCGAGAGAAAGATCTGTTGAGTAAAAACAGAAACGAGAGAAATTAACAACGGCATGCGATATACCGGTATTTCCGACAGAGCAGACGGATGTGACATAAATCGCGGGAGCGCGGCTAAACAGCTATTTTAGTCGGGGGGGAAATGTGTCGAGGTGTTAAATTCAGATCTCCTGTTTACCCGTGCTCTGACACACGGAAGTTACGGTCCCTGAGTATGGCTGTGATTAAGGAACCGTTTTCTTCCTACAAACCAGCGAGGAGCAACAAGTAAATGAGCAAGAGAGAGAGAGAGAGAGAGTTGGGAAGATGAGGAGGGAGGTTTCACCGAAATTCACACACATATATCGAGCGCGCACCTTCCCCTCAACCACGGTGAAGGGCTCCGGTAGAGAGGAGAGCATCCATTGAACTCGCCGCAGGCAACGATACCGGGTTGCCTCTGCAGCCGAATACGACGTTCTTTCAGACGCAGGGAGGAAAAAGGGTAGTGCGCAGGGAGGGAGGCGAAGTTTTTCGTTTTAATCTCTCGCACGCTCGCATCCTCGTGCACGAGTCGTCGACTCACGGGGCCGATCTCGTTCCTCTTCCTCTCGACTCTCCGATTTACGTTCGCTGTATGGCCCTTTCGCGTGCCCAGTGGCGTAACCGCACTTTTGGCTGTGCGTGCAATCGTGAAGTAACGATGAGCGGAAAAAAAGCGCAATCGTAAGCGGAAGAAATCAGTCGTTCAATCAGTCATCGAAGATAGCGTGACACGTTATAATCGGCTCGTGAAACTTCCGTATTGCGTATGCAATGCGTTAAAAGGGAAGCGCGCGATTTGCAGAAATGATCATTTTCCCTTGATAAAAAAAGTGTTTAATTTACCGGTTTACGCGGCGATTGAGTTAATTCCGGAAGTCGTGTCGTACCGCTGCTAAACGAAGCCCGTTTGTAATCGCCAGATAAACCAACTTCGCGCGTCTCAATTCCTCTAGCCTTATCTCCGCAAAATACATGGCCGGGGGGGGAATACGTGACACGGTCTCTGTCGGAGTTCCGGGCGATGGTTACGCTACTGCGAATGCATAAAGGGCCCCGTATAGGTCGGGTGTTCGACCGGGCACATATAACGCGCAAAACGACGAGTTAGCGGGACTGACGCGCCTAATTAAGTATGCTAATCGTCGCTAAAACTTGCTCGTACGAACAAGTCTGGAAATCCACGGAACACGCGCGATGCGCAAAAGGACTCGTGAGAACCCGCGAGTAACGAGACGGGGCCCTTAACGTGAACTTCCGATCCGCGGCCTGTAATGACGGCCCGGTGTGGGCCGCAGCCGCCGAGTCGGAATCCGCGACGATAATGGCTTCAACGAGCGCGCGTGTCGCGCGATTTATCCCTTGATTAACTAATTGCCGACAATGCGTATCGCAATTAAGTAATCCGTGGCGATCGAGAGCGTGAATTACAAATTACGCGACTCAACGCGAACTCAGGCGTCGGCCTTAATCGCTGCCGATTAAACGATATATACCATATATACTTCTCTCTCTCTCTCTTGTTATTATCTTGCGATGCGTTTTATTCCCATCCGCCATGCCAAGTTCGCTTTACGTTTACGAGAGATATTAACTCGGTCGTAAGATACTTCATATTTTGCGCTGACGGATCAATTATAAGAATGAACTGAATTTATTACGTCGGATTAAACTATCCCTCTATTAAATAATGATTCGTGTAAGTACACGCAATGAATATATATAACTGTCGTCACTCAAATTGCGAATTAAAGTATCTCGTTGTATCATCTCGTGTTCGAATTGCAATTTTTCGTATTCCTTCGGATCTTTGTGACTGCGTAGAAAAGAAGAATTAGCTCCCACAGATAAAAATTAATTGTCCATATAATATAATTAAAATTTAGTTAATTTAGCTAATTCTTGTTGTCCATGAACCTAGTTTTTTTTAGCTCCCACAGCTAAAAACTAGGTAACTCTGGTAACTAAATTTCAGTTTTATTAACAGTTTTGTGAACAGCTCATTTTTCTTTGCCGTGTGGATCTTTGGAGGGACTGAGAAGAAAGTAAAAATGTATTTAGTTAAACATTTTTATTTTTTTCTCAGTGTACCCCGAGAAAACTAAGGAGTAAATAATTTCTGTGAAATAAACTTTATATCCTATAAATAAATTTTTATGTACTTTTTTTTCGATGTACGAATTTTAATCCATAAAGATTCAGGTTCAACAAGAATAGAATATGTAGACAAATATAATAAACTTTTCATATAACGACCATGGGTGGAGCAGAGATATATAAATTAGGATGATAAAATAGACATAAATTAGGACGATCGCTGACGAGCCAATTACGACGATTATACTTTTACTGCCGTCGCGATTGGGAGGGATAGCACAGAGGGAGAGTTTATTTCCCAATTAACAATACTTATTAGATTTTACTGGGCTTTTAATACCCGGTAATTAATTGCGACGTAATCAGTGTCGGATCGCGCGTATGGCGCGCTTCTCCTTGCCTACGCCATGGAACGTTTTCGTCCTAATCGCACATCGCGTCGCTTGATTCCCGCTTCACGACGTCGCAAATTTCATTAAGCCATCAGTGACGATAAATCACGCGAAGGCGCTCGTACGCGTGGATGAAGCAACGCAGGACGAAACACGCGACACGCGCGGCTAAAGCCGGATTTATGGGCCCCGACGTGAGAAATTGAAAGAGGGGTTCGAAGATCTTTGTCACGTACCGTGGGATTTTTACTCCCGAACTCCGTATTTTCGCGAGAATGAAAAGCACCTACCTTCCTGTTTGAATAGTCGCAGGGCGCGAACAAGTTTCTACGCGAATACAAAGAGTCCCTGACAACCCGCCTGACCCTTTCTATTTTTACAACAATGTTTCCCTAAGTGCGTGAGATTCCGTCAAAGAGTACTGTTATTATTGCTTATGCGATTACATGCAGTTGGATCGCTTTCCGAAATTACTTCTTCGCTTAGAATACCGAAGTTTAGAATTACTTAATCCTCTCATTTTTTTCTCAATTATTCGCATAAACATGCTCGTTTCTTTCGGAATGCCTGATGAGATTTTAATTCTTCAACGAGATCAACTCTCGCCAGACGTCCCTTGTTCTTTGATCGTTTGTCGGTGCAATTTGCAGCGAGACACGAGTAGAAACGAGCGAGGGAGAGATGGTTGCACGCCGGCCCACACACCTCGAAAATTGCGAACTACTTCATCGTCCCGAGTCTACCATTTTTTAGGGTAGCCTCTCCAAACAAGTTGTTCGCATAATATCACTTGTGCGTAGCTTATTAATTTCGAGTTTAATACGATCATTTGCTCGTTCATTAAAGGATGCAATTTATAAGTAGTCTGGATGCTTAAATCCACACCATTTTATGGACGAGCAAGCATCATTGCGCGATATCAAGCTGATCGTTTTTGCGCGAGGTTGCGTTCAGCTTCCTTCCCGAAGGGATAATGAACTCATTACGCAGCGCGCTCAGGTGCCTCGATAATTACGAACACTGCGGTCACGATCGCCGGAAAACTGGGGGATGACGGACGCGTGCCAAACAGTGCGAGGGTCCCGTAATCGCTAATTGTGTATGTATCGTGTTTACCGACGGTCAGAGCGAACTATTTTCGCGTCATGAGGTGTACATGTGTGTGCCGTGAAATTTATCGCACTATTCGTCTCCTCATTCTTAATTAATAGCGTATTCGATTACCGTAGAGAGGCCGCACGTTATCCTTGAGACGCACGAATATAGCCGCCGGATCGTAAATTCGCGAACATACGAAATCGCAGAGACACCCTCCTCGTTCGTCGCGACTGTTTCATATTCATATATTCTCGACATACCCGTTGAATGATTTGCGACAGCGCACCT